ACGCAATTGACGAAAAGATTGAATTCTCAGCGCATCAGAGAGATTGCCCGCAACCGCTTGTTGACTATAATCGCGTATTGCCCATTCCAATTCCTTCCCCTATCCCGCAGTTGAAGATGAGCAACGCTGGAGGTACTATTGAGTATAATATGAAAGGTACGGGATCAAAAGGTTAAAAAAGACGGGCTTCCCTTCATCTTCACCTGGCGATTTGAGCATTCCAGGCTACAGGTACACTCGTTCAAGTTACCAGTTCACTGCCAGTTCACTTGCTTCACCACAATCTTATCTCTTGAGTTTCTGTACTTTTTTGGTTCATAGGCACCTGCAATATGAAAGGTTCACGGAGCCGAGGAAGGGAAGGGAAAGGGAAGCTAGAGTAGGGTGGATGGGCGGAAAAGGTTGGAGGAGAAGGGGTTGGGGTTTAGAAGCGCAGCCACGTTCTCTTCCTGAAGTAGCTCCAGAACGAGTTCAGTAGAAACCCACAAACTCTGTTACATATTGACCTTGGAGCTAACAAGTCACCTTATTGGGAAATCCTTGAATGCGAAAATAAAAACCCAAGCAACTGATATTTTGAGAAATTTCAGAGGCTTATAAAAAGTACGAAGATCAGTCTCTTTAGGAGGTGTTCCGTTCCCTCATCCCACGTGAGAGCGAACGCGGAAAGAAGTATTACGAAGAACCGTTTTGGGGTCGAGTGAACGACGTCTGGTAGACGAGTTGCTGATCGTATTGTTTACATTGATGAGTCGAAATTGTAATGAATCGTTGTGCTCATACACAATCGAAGGCTTAAACATACTCTCATATTTTGAGGGAGGAATGAAAATGAACACTTCGGAAATCGGAAATCGAGTTCTGTCACGGATCCATGAAACGACCCGAAGAAACAACTTTCATTTTCTGACTCTAATAACTCATATGGTAGCTATAATGCTTTATCAACAATGCTACAATGCTTTAGATAAAGCTATAACTGCTTTCATTACTTCCTTACTAGTATTTAAGGGCATACTAAGCCTGATACTGCTTGCTTCGAATCCACTGAACAATCTTGAGGAAGCTAAAAGCAAGACGGTAGGAAAGGGCGGACGGAGATCTCGAATTATTTCGAGAATGGAGATAAAATGAATTGCTGTGAATTTTTAGAACCCTTTTCATGAGAATTGGACCCCTGGAGAGAAAATGCGTGTTTTTTGTTGGAGCAAGACTTGTAGTTACGAAGGAAGTTCCAAAGCTCTAAAAACGAACAGAATCCTTCGGAATGAGCATTTTTGGAAGTATGGATTCCCCAGTATTTTTGCTACGAAAAGGCAAACATTACGTGAAAAAGGAAATCTGAATTCTCCTTTCTTCATCCTTTCTCAGTCATATAGACATTTTCTAAGGTATTCCCATAGAAGACTGTCTCCTCAGGATGGCTGATGGAGCTAATGCGGTACTTGAACTCGGACAATTCCTGCAGAGGGTCTCGACATCATCTCGATGATTCACGATGGCGAGTCGTTCTGCAGGGTAGGAGCAAGGTTGGGATCTTACATATAGACTCTTAAATTGTTTGAAAACTACCCGATTCCAGGCATTGTCATTTTCTGTAAAGCTTAAGCTCTAATGTGTTGATTATGAGCCATGTCTTCTCGAAATTTGCTCAATTGATGCTAATGAACGGGAGGAAACCACTAAAAAAGGCAAAAAAGTTATAATGAGAATGGAAGATGCATGAATTCTCATAAGATTTTTGCAGTTATAAGCAATTAGCAATTATTATTTTGTATTTTACATCAGTGAACCCCGAGATTGAAGGGATCCACGCAAGGGAGCAGAATAAAAATGTTATTATTAATATTTGTATGAGCAAAAAGTTACAAATAAAGCCTGTTCGGCGGATAGATAGATCCTCACCAATACTATTGAGGCACTTTGGTTAAGGTGCGAGTACTGCCATAAAAGTGAAGCCTGCCTACGATGGCCCGCTGTACTGCACAGCGCTTCCAAATTGTGTACAGCCATATATACCCAATTAATGTGTCGTTCTGAGAATTGTCGTAGCCGTCCCAACAGTTCTAGAGCAGGACGCTTTTTGGGGATTGACAATGCATCATATAATTCAATGTCAATCTGCGGACGAAGACTGTCTAGTGGCGCATTATCACACACATAGTCCAGGAACCGAATTCTTTACCGATACCACATGGGCCAACTTAGCTTTTCTTCCCTCAAAGATGAGTTGATTGGAACCATCATCTGTGAAAGTATAAACATTAATTTGTGCATCGGGTGACCACCACCACATCATTGTGTAGCCCACATACGCCATTAGAACCGCCAGTGCGATTTCAATTTTGGAGGAGCATCTCAAAACAGGATTAGCCAGCCCTGAAAGTTTTTATCCCTCAGACCATGCGCTGTTTCTCCCAAAAGGCTGAGCGTGGACGTATTTTTATTAATCTACAGCCAATTTTGGCTACTTTCACCATTCTAAAGCGTACTTCTTGAAGCGAAAATGGAAAATTCAGTGTTCCGTTTCGCTCGACAAAGGGAATTTTCAAAAGGACAGTTGGACTATGTTGAAAGCACAGTTGATCAGTAAGAAATGCATTCAGACTCATCATAAGGGCGTAAACTGGTTGGCTTGTAAAAGCCAAAAAATTCTATATCTGCACTATCATTTCGAGGAATGGAGCTTTTTCGGTTTCATTTGGGGTTAATAGCAAAATTATGCTATATTGGCTAGTTTTGTGACATATGTTCAAGTTAATGCATATGTATTAAAACAATCCACCAATTTTTGGGACGTACCAATGGGTTTCTGATGAATTAGGAGGCCGTAGAGAAGTAACTCGTTTTCCAATTGGTCTGAACAGTTGTAAATCTGAACTGCCTTGACCACAGTTTCCCTAAAACCGGCTTCTTCTCATTTCACCGTCAAATTTCAAATGCTGATGAAATTGCAGGTCCCAATGTGGACTGGATCCATGCATTTGACTCCATTTGAAGAATGGTTGAGTTGTTCGATTGAGAATATGGCCTAGCAACTAACTTGCAGGAAAAAAGTTTTTGGACAAGTTAGTATCCTCTCCTTCCAGACTAGTAAGTTTATGACCACGTATACGACACAGCTGAACAATGCTAAAAAGCACCATCACCACTAGCATGACTCTTGGGTCGTAGCCCACTTAAACCAGTTAGCTTTTTTGCACCAAATCAAGAAGTCAATTGTTCGGAAGAAAACACTTGGGTAGTGGGGGTACAAAATCGGTGACTTGTAGAGAGTGTGAACCTTGACATTAATTTAATGAGAAAACACTGTGGAATGGTCTTAAGTGGAAGCTGAATGCACGGCGTTTTCTGGAGAAGATTTGATAACAGTTGAAGCAAGCTGCTTCCTAAAAGATCGACTCCGTAGCGGTAAAGGCCTAGTGCCCCTCACTGAAGCTCTTTAAGAAATGAAGTGATGAGGTTCTCCTCAGGAATCCAATTCAGTTGAACCGGTCAATGACAGAATTTTCTTCTACTATCGACTTTATAAAATTTTACCCGAATATTCTTCTGTTTTGAAAACAATTTTTGGCAGGTATCGCGATTTTCTTAATTTTTAGTGTCGCCTGCCGTCCCACTGGTCATCGGTTTGTCCAAGGAGGTCCTAGTGACGTCTCCTGTTTGATCGTGGACCTTCCTCGCTCGAAGGATTTGAGCTACACGATGTCTTTCGTCCGGCGCTCTTGTGAGGAATTCTGACTATTGCGCTGGCAGCCGTTAGGATTTTGGTACAATACCTAGGAGAATCTAATTGTAAGCAGTATTCACCTTGGTTCAATAGCCAAAACAAAATCGCATGTCGTGTCTAACCCACCTGATGTTCGATTCCTTAGAGTGGCAGCAGTGCCTTTGGCCTTTGGTCGTTGACTGGGCCTGGAACACTGGATCCCCCCACACTAGCTTGGATCGGGAAGTACCAAGAGTTGCCCTTTCACAGCTCGTTGAATGACACTGACCGTATACTACCTCAGCCTACGCAAAAACCACGTCAAAACAGCGGGAACAACATGGTCGAAAAGGAGCCTGCGGAGCCAACAACACAGCTGGATCATTTGGAAATTATTCTACATTGTGGGCACCTCCTTGGACAAAAACATAGGGGTAGTTTCCTGATAATGCCTATCATGTGTAACCTGGAGGTGTAACCCGATGTGTAGCTGCCTGATTCAGGAATACGAATCACTGTCCGAAAGGTTCTGTTTTGATACTAAATTGCAGTCGAAAGACTAGGCTGTAACTATTCAGTGAACCAATATAACCCGTAGACCACTCAAATGAGTTTAATGAACGACAAACAGACAGCCGAATATTTTATGCTAATCGAATTACTTTTCGATGAAGGTACGCCCCGTAGTCGCCTACACTACCTGCATTTTTCATTAGATTACGAACGCCATTACCGAATAGAACAGACGGAGCGCAAATGTCATGTTAATAAATGGTCCGCTTTCAATTCAATCCACTGCAGAGTATGAACTTTGCTTTTTATACCATGATGTTAGAGCCTCAAGCCAGTTTAGGCACAAAAACCAGTTTACAATTACCAGCTGAAAGTGGAATAAAAAAGTATGGGACAAAGAGGAAAATGCAGGCAGGCAGAAAGCATTAAATAGGTGCAGGAAATCGGAATGATTTCTGTGGAACTGCATGATCGTATTCAGGAAAGACTTTTGTGGCAGAACGTCTGGAAAAGATTATCATGGCTGCTAATTTATTAGTCGACAGGTCAGATCAGATGAGAAAGATGGAAATTTTGTTTGGTTCGTGGTTGATTAAACCCGTTTCGTAATGCGCCATGAATCCGCTTCCCATCCAAAATTGTGGCTGAGCTCGAATTCATATTTAGCCGGTCCACTGGAGTTAGGAGATGCAAAAGTGACCCTTCATATTCACCAAGCGTGTTGCCTGTCAAGCGAAAAGCCTCGTTGGTTCAGACATCAGGATTCAATTCCCAGACCATGGGTGTGGTAGCGGCGCCACCTTTTCCTACCCCACGTTTCCATTTTCGCTCTGAATACGAATACGCTTGGAATCTGAATGAAGACGGCAAAGTTCCATCTTCCGTGCCTTTAGTAGTTCAGTAGCATTTGAGGAGTTATAAAGCAGTAAAAGGAAAGTGTCATTTTGGAAGCACTATTTAAACCTTGAAATTGTAAATCCCATGAAGTGTTTGCATACTGAAATGGGGCAAATAAACGGCTTACTCAGGCCTTAATCAAAATTTCGAACTCTGTATTTGGTAACTTCTGGTTCTGCGTTGGCGATAACGATTACAGACTTCAGTGAGCATCCGTAATTTTACGTAGTGTTAAGTGTAGTAATAAATATAATCTCATTCTAAAACATAAATTTAAATGCATCAAAAACAACTTTGGCATAAATAAAGATGCTGACACTCCAACTATATATGCACTTCCTAAGCTACATAAACAACCGGTTATGTTCAGATACTAATGTATCAAGGGGACAAGTGAAAGTAGTATGGGACTGGTGACATAAGAATTACATTCTATTGTTACATGTGTGAAAGACCATATCGTGCAACACATCTCGATTAACGAATAAAGAAGCAAAACCATCGAACTCATAGGCCTATCGGCAAAATCACTATTAGTGAAGATCTCGAAAATATAGATTATCCTTACTTTACATCGCTGATTTTACTGCCATGCTAATCTTGAAAATGACATCACTCATGAGATTAGTGATGTTATCACCGCTCATGATAACATCACTAATCGCATTATAGAAAACATACAAATCTTCTGAACTTTGCTTCGAGAATGCCCCCAAAGATATGGTACCAATGGGCATCATGCTCTTTACACAGATGATCAAGACCCTGAAGATTGTTCTAGGGTTGGTTATATAATGAAGCTGTTCTAATATACTTGACATATTGCATGCTTAGAAATAGCTTTTGTCAGTTAGGAAAACATACATATGTGCAAGCGAAATAAACGAGTTCTATAGGCGCGTAATTCGAGTCCATTGCTAGCGCCTTACGTAGGTTGCCTTTTATATTTCGAGATTAGAGAACAAAAATAAATATCAAACATTGAAAATCGCTTCACTGTCTTCCAAAAATCTCCTCATTAAGATCTATACACCTTTGCATGCGTTCGAACCAATTGTAGAAGCACTTTCACCACTTTGATGGAGGACACTCTAAAACATGCATACTGAACGCATCAACGGCTTCTTCAGGTGTCGAAAAACGTTGACCTCTCATTTTATTTTTTACGTACGGGATAACAAGAAGGCCTCAAAGGACTGTATGGCTGATAACTTATCAAATCGTTACTTTGACTGGTAAAAAATGCAGCTGTTGGAGCCGATGTGTGGGAGCTTGCATTGTCGGGGTGATGAGTGATCCGTCTTCGGCATTTGGTTTTCCTGATTTTCTGGAAGGCAAGTAACAAACAAATGGTTGTATAACACTCAGAAAGGACTGTTTGCTTGTTCTAGTGGTACGGTTGCGACATGTTCAGTTTTCCAAAAAAACAGCAGATCAATTGCTTGGAGGTGCTTGGTGCGCGGACAGCTTCTGTTGTATTTCGCTCATCTTGAAATAACCATACGGTCGACTGCTGTATACTTTTGGGTTCATTCATCCTCATAAATCCATTATATATCACCTGTCGCGATGTCAAAGGCGTGTTTCGAAGCAGTGCGACCGTATTTTTTAAGCATTCCTTTCGACAAATCGACACGACTCCTTTTTTGGGGGGATTGGCAAATCTTTTAAAAACAATTTTTTTTACAGTCAAATGTTCATGCATTATTGAATATATGTTAGTCTCTTTGATGTCATAATCGCACGATAGGTCAAATGACGATCTTGCTATATTAGTTTGCGCACAGCATTGGAACAACAACTGATTTTGGAGACCTTCACGGAATCGTCTTGGAGTGAACTACGACTTCGGGTGATTTCACCATCCAATCGTTAAGCACTGGTCCATGATGGAGCCTCATCGTCAAAGGGGGAGCGGGAGTTAAGGGGAAGGAGGTTTGGCTTAAGTGGGGGGTGGGGGCGACTAGGGCCTGAGTAAATTTTTTAAGTCAGTGTAAACAACACCAAGAGCGCTCATATGTCAAAACGTTCTGAGTAGTGTGACCTCAAAAGAGCCAAACTTTACGACGGAGCTGTCAGTTGCCAGATTGCAACACTAGGGTTGCTCAATCCCGAAATATAAAAGGCAACCCTCGTACAATGTCCATTATGGGGTTTCCCTACAGTGAGAGCTGTGATATGCTCAATAATGAGCTGTTTATTCCTTGTAGGGGTCACAGGACATTGGTTCTGTTGAGACCACGATCACTTTTTACCGTCGAGATAGTGATCTCATTGGGGTATATAAACCCCTCGATTGTATTTTTTCCATCGGCTGTCTGCTACCTCGGATTGTAGTTATATTCAGTTTATCCCTAATAAATATTCCATCGGCTGTCTGCTACCTCGGACGCAACAAATGGCGATCAGGATCAAGGACCCATGGGTAAGCTAGCCGAAATCCTCTCCCTGATGCAAGGCCTGATGGAACAACAGGAAAAGACACTGCAGCACATGCTGAAGCAGCAGAAGGATACTTCCGACTCCTTTCTCCGTGCCCTTGAAAAGATGGAGGTGCGGATGAGTGGAGCGAATCCCAGGACTGCAAAACACTCTATATTCGACTCTCTCTGCCGTCGTATAGACAGATTGAATTTCGACGCCGAGAACGGAAAAACTTTCTATATCTGGTACAAACGCTTCAGAGACGTTTTCGACAACGACTGCACAGAGCTGAGTGAGCAAGAGAAGACTCGCCTACTAGTGAGCCGATTGGATGAAGACTGTCCCAACTGTTTTGTGGGCCGACTGCGCCGAGGTCGCCGTCAGACCTGTCATGGGATGAAGCCGCTTCCACTATGGACAGTCTCTTCGGTTCTGCCAAAACGTTATTCCGTCGTCTATTCGAATGTCTCAAAATTAAGTACGACCACCAGGATTTCAACAACTACGAGACGCTTTGTGCGCACGCGATGCTCTGGTGCCAAGTTCGACTCCATCGGCTTCGATGGCCTTCAATGTCTCGTACGTTGCCGGATTACAAGGAGCCGAGTTTGCAGACTAAAGAACACGGCTGCTGAGGAAGTTGGTTCAAGGAGACGATATCACAATCAAAGACCTCACCGCCGAGTTTCAACTCATCAAGTCGTACAAAGATGACGCAAGAATGCTGGAGAACGCCACAAACCCCTGCATTTCCGTCAACTACGTCAGCAGGAGGAGAAAAAGAAAATTTCTCAAGCAGAAACAAGAACCAACGAATAGAGAAGAATCTGATGCGCTTTATGATCCTAGATCTGGGAACCAGGAATCAAGGGCAGACCAGAGGTAGCGTGCAAGGACCTACCAGATCAAAAGCATCGAGGATGCTTTACGCAAGGACGCCCAACCACACTTGGAAGTAGAAGTGAATGGACGTTCCCTGAATCTTCTGCTCGACACTGGCACTATCACACTGATTCCAAAATCGAGTTGGATGAAGCTAGGAACACCGCAACTACTGAAGTTCAACACAATCGTCAACGCCGCTAATGGATCGGGAATTCCCACAGAAGGATACCCCGTGGTCGATTTTGTATTGAGGAGCTCAGGTGGAAGGCAACACCATGGGCAAGGATGTTGCTACGTAAACGAGAACCTCGACATTTTCGGCTGGGAGTGGATTCAGAAGGTTCCTGAACTAATGGAACCACTGTAGAAATACATCAGTGGAGTGACTATCGTCGCTGATCCCGCCGCTTCGTGCCGGGAAGAAATTGTCGCCAAACTGAAGGTCAATCATGCCGACGTATTCAAGGCAAGACTCGGACGATGTACCAAGACCAAGGCGACACCCCGGCTGAATCCCGATACTCATCCTGTTTTCAAGAAGCGCTCTGTGCTTTATACCTACGTCGCCGCTCCCGATGAAGAGATCGACCTCTTGCTTGCAGAACAAGTGCTTTCTCCGGTCGACTACTCTGCCTGGGCAGCCCCGATCGTCGTCATCAAGAAAACAAATGGAACACTACGACTCTGTGCCGGCTTTTCTACTGGATTGAATGACGCGCTCATGCTACATCAACACCCGCTGCCAACTCCGGACGACGTTTTTGCGAAGCTGAATGGTGCCACAGCATTCACGCGAATCGAGTTCGCCGACGCTTATCTCCAAATTGAAGTGGAGGACGAGGCGAAGGAGCTGTTAACCATCAACACGCACAGAGGACTACTCCGCTATAGTCGCCTTCCTTTTGGCGTTAAATCGGCTCCGGGCATCTTCCAACAAAACATAGATTCCATGATTTGTGGGCTCGAAGGCTGCGCTGCTTACCTCGATGACGTTTCACAGGCCGAAATATCGAGGAGCACGTCGCCAGTCTGGAAGCTCTGTTCAAGAGGAGGATGGATAAGTGCAATTTCCTGATGCATCAACTCTGATACCTCAGAAATATCATCGACTCCACTGGACGCCGACCCGATCCTGCCAAAATCGAGGTAATTCGCAAGATGCCACACCCCACGGACGTCGGCCAGGTGTGATCGTTCTTGGGGATGCTCATTACTATGGACACTTCATCAGCGAATTGCGACTTGCGACAACTGCGTGCACCGTTGGACGAATTGCTGAAGAAGAATGTTCCGTTCAAATGGTCGTCGAGTGCCGAGACGCTTTCCAACGCGCCAAGGATGTACTAGCCTCGGACCTACTGTTCACCCACTATGATCCCACAAAGGAGATCGTCATTGCGGCCGACGCATCGGAGTACGGGCTAGGAGCAGTCATCAGCCACCGTCTCTCGGAGGGAGCGGAAAAAGCGATTCACAAACGCCAGCCCAAACAGCTGCTGAGAAAAATTACGGTCAAGATACGGACAAAGCTGAGCCTTCTACATAAAGAAATTTGCGATCACAAACTACAACACCTGGAACCGAAAAATGGAGGAACAATACAATCGTCATCACGGCGCCAGACAAAAATTCAATATTGGAGACTCCGTGTGGGCCAAGGACCATCGTTCCGGAGCACCGAAACAAGCGCCTGGTGAAGTGGTACAACCATGCGGAAACAAGCTCTACGACATTTCGGTCGATGGACAAATCTGGAAGGGACATGCCAACCAGTTACGTCTACGCGTTAGCAGTAATCCAAATATTACAGACACCAACAGAACTCGTCGAGCTGCCGCTGTTGCCGATGTCGAGGTCAGCTCACGTAACGGAAGAAGCAAGCTCGATGCTGCCAACCACCACGGTCGAAGCACGGCCCCCACAAGCCATCGCAAGAGAACGCCGAGCCAGGTCATGACGCCCTCCAGAGCGATTGAAGGTCGATCCTAAGAAGAAGACGTACGCCTAGAGCGTCCATCTTAAGGGGGGGGGGCGGTGTTGTAGGGGTCATAGGGCATTGGTTCTGTTGAGACCACGATCACGTTTTACCGCTTAAATAGTGATCTCATTGGGGTATATAAACTCCTCGATTGTAGTTATATTCAGTTTATCTCTAATAAATATTCCATCGGCTGCCTGCTACCTCAGACACAAGAATTCCGTCCAGTTATATTGACGATTTTTTAGAAGTTCAGAGCGAAGGAGATTAGATTTCGGAAAAGATGATTACAGATGAAAATAATAGCGATAATTTGGGTCTACGTGTTAACATTACTCGCAATATGTAGGATTGAAACAAGTTTATACAATAAGGCTGACGATCTTATATGAAGATAGTAAAATTTCTACACAATGGTACCACTAGTTTTATAACACTGAGGCATCGGTAATGTACACGGAGACTGAAGAATGGATAATACATGTTCATTCCTAAAAGGTTTTATAACCAAAATAAGAGATATGCAGTTATACCTTGAGTTGAGCATAATACCTTGAGTTTGAGTGATTACAGTGAAGAATAGCTTTTTACGGATATTATTAGAAGTATATACAAAGATGAGCTGTTAAGCTATGAGTTTTACATGGGAAGTAACGTGGAAAACACCATCATGCTTGTTAATATACGTCAAGAACCATACCTACTTCGCAAGGTGTCCCAAAACTATGGGCACCAGAAATCAGAAGCTTATTAGTTAGTAGTAGTGAACTAATTTCACTTCATACGCTATTAATTAGTTACACTAGTTAGTTTTCTTGCAATATGCACAGTTACTGAAGTGAGGCTTTCATTACTTCAGATTGGGGAAGCTAGACTATTGCGCAAAGTTTCGCGCGATTACTGTTATGACTGCACAGAAGGCTACAAAACGATACAGAGAAGCAGAATCATTTGTAAACAAAGCCAGAAAGTGTGGAGGGATAAGTGTTTCCGAAGATAGGACTGTTGAAATATTCCGTTTGCGAGTCAACCTTGTTCATGGGTGACCAGCCAAAAGGAAAGCAGTGGAGCACGACTCACAAAAAATGAAGAAGGTCGCTAACTCACTTGAGGGTAACCACGCATCTCTTCATCGTTCCTTTGACGACAAAAATTTTATGATAAAGCCAGTCTCCAACAAAAACAACGATGGCGTTCCTGGTAGAAACATCGAATGTGCAATCTCTCACGAAAATGTTATTATAGGAAATGAAAAGGATGTTTATGGAAGGTGTCACGGCAATGGTTAAAATTCGCTGGTTTCATCAGTGTCGGCGTGAAAATTTGGAGGTCTTGTACTCAAAGAGCTTACCGATGGATATAGTCAAGCACTGCTCCGACTCAGCTTTTAGAAACAGCTCGAAGTTCTCCCTGCTGCAGGACAATTCTCCAGCCCACAGAGCGAAACTCGCCCGGGAGTGGTGATGACGAAAGATGATCAACTTCTTAGGCGGAAAGGAATGGTCATACAGCTTTCCTGATCTCAGCAGGTGACGCAGCTAATCCTCCTTATAGTTCCTGACTAGAAGAGGACCTGTTGGGTTAGCAGTCCCAGTACCTACGTGCAACATGCGAGGAATGATAGAAGGGACTTTGGCCCTCTATCATTACTAATGACTGATATTTCAATATGCGATTGTAGCTTGTTGTTGCACATAACGCAAGCAAACCTCAAACCTGCATATAATCCACGGTCATTTTTAGATTAGAGGCTTTAAATACACTGCATCGAATAAGCGCGCTCCATTTTGGGACACCCTGTATGAAATCCGTACTACATATAACCAATTCCTTCGACTGCTCACATCCTCTACGCATACTCTACAACTCTTGCAACATCCTCCTTGGTAAGCAAGCTCATCAACTAATAAGTCTATCAATCAGAACTACTGTAAGGTCTCACTTCAGTTTTCCGCGAACTCCACTATCTTGTCCTCCTGTACTAAAACTCCTCGGAAAACCTCTACGATGAAAGACTTCATTAATTGCTCTGAAACTTTGCAAATTCTCAATCGGAGATTTTCAATCGCTGCTATCCTCTCCTCTGCCTCCACTACTCTTTGAAATCCCTATATAGTGATAGAATTCTCTAATTGGTAGATCACAAATTGGAACTAGGGCAAGGTCCTATGGAGTCCTTTCAATCGCTTCTATCCTCACCGCCTCATCCACAGCTCCATAGAAATACTCCATGATAAGATAATTCATCAGTTCATACTTCTGGCAATTGGAACTAGTGTATGGCCTCATTTTAAGTTCTTTCAGTGGCCCCTCTACACTTTGAAAAACCGTGACCACAATTCAGTTCTAATATGGTAACCCTAGTAATTGGTACTGGGCTTTGTAAGGTCTCAATTCAGGTTGCCTTAATCGCTCCTACGATCTCGCCTCCTCTACCGGACCTCAGAAATCCTCTTTGGTAAGAGACCCTACCAATTAACAAGTCCTACGGTACTTCCAATAGGAACTACTGTAGGTTCTCATATCGTTTTCATTTGATCGCTCCAATCTTCTCCGCTACCTCTGGTGCTCCCTAGAGATAACTATGTAGTGAGAAAGTCCGTTATTCAATAAGTTAGGGATGGGAATTACTGTATACTCTTTCATATCGAGTTTTAAAGTTTTCATGTCTTTTTGATTTCATAATCATCTTTTTTACATTCATAATTTTCAAACTTTTCCAATCACTCCAATTCTCTATCACACTAGTACATCTCTTTAAAAATACTCCATTTCAAGAAAGCTCGTTATTCAGTAGATCTAATGAATGGAACTATGGTGAATTCCCTTTAAATTCCATCCAGTCGCTCCTTCCCCTGAGCCACATCTGAAACTCTTTCAAAAGCCCCAAAGGGATGTCTGTTATTTGATAAGTTAGTTAGTTAGTTAATGGTAAAGAAACTAAAAGCTAAGCCTGGCAGCTTTCGCAGATGCGGGCGAGGTAGCCATTGTCGCATGCGCCTACCTATTCAACACTACCAGTTCTGCGCTTATCATGGGAAGAAGTAAACTTTCGTCAATAAAAACAAAAACAACTATACCAAAGTTAGAACTGAATGCACTCACTATGGCAGCACGACTCGCACTTTCAACCACTAGAGCCATGAAATCGCGCATACCTGACTATCCATGGACTATATACCTACTTTCTGATTCCCAAATTGCGCTCAGTTGGTTGTCATCTTCTAGAAAACCTATCTCGGAGTCCTCGTAGGGAACCGGATACGGGAAATCCGGAACATCGTCCACTGCTTGAATGATGAGAAAGTCGCCGTCAATTTTAGCTACATCAACGCCACTGAGAACCCAGCAGACGCAGGAACGAGAGGGCTTTCTAAAAATGAAATGGAATCGCATAAATGGTGGACAGGGCCACCATTCTTGTCGCAATCACTGGAGACGTGGGAGACCACATTTTACCCACTTCCAGCGGAAAAACAATCCGGCGCCAATAATGATTAACCAAAGGATATTACCAACTTGGTATTTATTAAGAAGCTTCTACGCCATGTGGATGGAAATGCCAAACTGAGAATATTCACAAACATTTTCGAGTTACGGAAAATTTGAGAAGATCCAACACCCCAGATGGACAGGACATCCATGCATCACGATTGGCAAACATTCGCAACCACCAGGCACTATATTTGACGGAAGAGTACAGAAAATCAACGGAGAATACTCTAAGTTTAATCAAAGACTGCGACCATCTTCGACGCTCAAGATGACGACTAGGGAACACAAATCTGTGTAGCGACACGAAGTTTCCCATCTTCATCACACCCAACACCATACTTGCGAGACTTTTGATCGAGGAAGCTCACGGAACTTATCATCAGGGCACAGAGCACACTACAGCTGCAATACGTCAAAATTATTTGATCCCGAAACTGCGCCAACAGGTCCGAAAACTAATAAGTCACTGCGTTAAATATCGCCGATTTAATGCACTACCATACCATTACCATGAGATGACAGACCTGCCAAGTCGACGAGTACAGCGATACCGTCCATTCCAGCACACAGGTATGGATTTCTTTGACGTTCCACCTTGCGCTGAGAACGTCTGTGCAATCAAATTGTACGGGTGCATATTCACCTGCACAGTGAGTTGATGAGCGATCGTTGTGGAAGCGCTCGTTGAAACCCATTGATATTTTGCTCTACGTCATGCCATCTTTCCCCTAGTTCCCGGGATAAAACCGTGTCCCACTGGAATTTTTGTTTCCACAAATCTTGTTAAAATTTCTTCGCCGTTAACAACAAGGAGGCAAGCCACCCTAATGGATCGAATATTGACGCACACTGGCGCGCGACAAACCGCTTTGTGAGATTTTCAGAGGAAGCAATTTTACAGGATATATTTAGCTCATCGAGTTCCGAATTCCAATTTATGCCCAATACTTTTTGTGTGTTTGATTTCGCGCTAGTTTCTTCAGGTTGAGCGTTCTTTAAGTTTTTGTTGTTTGAAAGAAGTTCTCTAAAGTTCATCCCCATTTCGGTGAAATATTTGCGCGTTTTTATCGATTTTGCAATTAAGTCTTCCTTGGTTTCTGCCGAAAGCATGAGGTTATCCACATACAAGTTTTTTTTTGTATTTCGTCGGCTAATGCGCTATCCAATACTGCATTTCTTAGGTAATGCTGAATAGTTTCCCCGAGCAGATATGGTGGGACATTG